TCGACAAAACGAATAGCCATATCGCTCTCTGCGTCTTCCGCCATTTTTTTCAGCGTCAATTCGTGAAGGAAATTCGTGGGGAAATCTCTATTCCTCATAAGCTCGGCTTCTCGGAGATTTCCCCGCCACAGTGTGTGGCAAAATAATAAAATAAAATAAAATAAAATAAGGACGCGTGGCTCTGAGCGTGGGTCATCCACGCGGAACACATTCGCGCTATGTGATTGGCTGTTGTCTAATCCCCCTTGGGGTCTGTGGTCTTAAAAATATATATATATTTAGCCACAGCTAAAAGGGAAGCTCCCATTGATAAATTTATAACTTAAATCAAACAATAATTTTGTATTCCACAAATCAGTTAACGTAAGGACACATTCATGTGACTTTTGAGGGAAACGCTAAGTGATTTTGGAGAGAAATAAATTTTGTATCGAGTTGATATAGCCCTATATGTACACCCAAAAAATGGTCTTCGGTCACATTTAAGAGCAATGATGGCTCTTGATCACAGTAGATAAGGCGTGCAAAACAAATTCTTGGAAAACAAATCAGACCGAATTTTTTGCGTTCGACAAGTTTACAAATTCTTGCCAATAAATCTGGGTGTGTGCAAACCAATCTTTTATTTTTTTTTTATACACCACATCTGAGGAGAAAGAGTACTATGAGGCGCTGTTTTTATCGTACAGACCTCGTACAAAATGCAGTATTTCACGATTTTTCAAGACAGATTGCATTCATTCCATATTCAGGACCATAGAGGCACGCGTGGACTTTTAATTAGCGAAACCGTTCAAAAAATTTCCAAAATCACCTATACGGCCAGCCGGTTCTAACTTTTGACAAGCACCAAATTTGCGAAGAAATTTTAAAAGAGTTACGCTTCAACGTGATAAAGAATTTACTGAGTCTATTTTTTATTAACGGTTTTATAACGATGTGTAATCTTAAAAAGCGTTTGATACGCTTGGCATTTTGATTACTCCTGCGAGCGATGTTTATGAATGCCTGAAAACAAACGGCAAAGCGATGAAAATTACACTTTTGAGACTACCAAAAATCAATAAAGAAAAATAATTCGATAGAACATTTACAGAGACAGCAATTTTCATTCACGAAAACAAATGAGTATTTAAGTGTGTCTAAGAATCCTCAAGTCTTTACTAGTAAGCTTAAAGTTTATGTTTTAAGCCGCCGGTTTCCCGGTGTTGGCTGTTTTCAAAGATTAACTCACGAAAAGAAAATCGTTCAAAGCTTTCTTTCTACAGCCAAAATATAACTAAATATTCTTCGGAAAGTTTTTTCTTTCTATTTAAGGTGAATCAATATCGACTAAAGGCTTTTTAAAGTTCTGTAAGCTTAAGCTTATATCAAACCTCATACGAGGTCAGATCAGTGTCTCAGTCAAATCTTAATACAAACGTGCATAAACTAGCTTCATAAACTGCGCCGCTGGACTTCATGAAATTAGATTTAAATACAATAATTACTCAGGCTTACCATATGTCGAGATACAGCTCCTGAAAGCTGTCAAATAAGGCAAGGATCGCTTGAGCCCTTATAATTCTCGTACGCATCCAGCAAGGTGAAAAACAAAAACGATGCCATCCGAAATCGGATTATCGGTTTTGACAAGCGACGCATTTTTCAACCAAAAACCCAATAAACAAACCAGCCATGAATAAGAGAACACTATTGATAGCAGCTGTATTTCATTTTGTACATCCAGTGGAAAAAGACAGTTAAAAACATCACAAGTTGACTCAAAACTCTGTCAGCTTCAGCTGTCAAAGTAAACAACTTTCAAGATGCTGCATAAATTTTACGCATGAACTCACCTGTCAAATTTTAACCAATCAGAGCATAAAAATTGGACGTGGAGGGTGACCAACACGTGCCCATGGTAAAAAAAGGTCTTACCCGCCTGTATTTTAATGCTGAATTTTTGCGTCTGAAGTCAGTTTGAAATCAAAATCGTAATAGTGCGGGGCGATACTGACATAAACACAACATATTTGATATGAATTTAAAACAAAAGTAAACGTGAGCCTGCGATCATTTGAAAACGTGTAAATTGTCAGCGGATAACTTCAAAAAAATACTCGACCTCGATGGGTCGACACCTGAGCCCGCGATTCGGTCAGGTGATAGTGATCAGCGGATACCCTGTTTTGACAGCTGTCAATTGATGACAACATTGATGTACAATCAGCTTTCTCCTGGGCTGCCAAAGTAGCTAGAAAGTGTGAGAGTAAACATTGGTATGCCTGTGGTGCGGACGGACGGTCGGTCGGTCGGTCACGTGATTACCAAATTTTCTGGGATGGGTAGATTTCCTTAGCAATGGGGCTCCGCCCACGCGCGTGCGAAGCGCGCGCGTGGAGCTCCGCTATAACTCGAGACGAATTACCTATTGAATAGGGTATGTATGGGGAATGTTTTGTCTGTCCCCTTTATCCTCTCTTGCCCTGGATTATCTTAACCCAGCTTCGAACAACCCGACGTAGATGTTTACAAACGCAGTAAAAGAAAGCTACCACAGAAATGTGGGTAATGGATCCGCTTGTTTTAAACCCTGACAAGAAGCACAGGCTTAGTACGGGAGTAATGCTCTTTCTGGGTTATGGGCTCCTTCGAGACGCTGTTGGGGCGTTTCCTCGAGGCAGGGGGACGCATAAGTTTTGAGGTGTTTGAGAAGATTTGAGTCCCAACATTTATAATCAAATACAAAAGGAGGCACAGTTGGACAAACGGATTGAAATAAGGACGCCTCTGATTATAACAATATATCTTCCTTCAAAAACAAATGGAGCCCACTTAAACTTCGCACCTCGGACAAATATATTTGCTGAAATTAAATAGCTTCAAAAGTAACAAGTGAAGCAGAAACAAATGCAAATGCAAAGCACGTTTCAGTAGGACAGACTCTTTATGTTTTTGTTGTTTCGTTTTGTTTTTTTTGCAATTATTAGTCAAATTTGTAAAACATTCTTAGGTTTACGTAGCTGTAAATGCTCTAACATCGTATTTTGCCTTTTTCTCTTGTCATGTTAATGTAAGCTGTTTCTATTTTCCCTCCATGAAAATGTAAGTATTGTCATAAGAAGTGTTGTAATCAAATAAATTTTATTAGTATTTACCAACTCACTGAATAGCAATTTTCACGCGTTTTGATTGGCTCCCGTAACTCGGAATATCCTCGGCTATTCACTGTTTTGCGACCGGAGCCAAGGTGGCGTCTTGTTTCAAGACATTTTCGGAAGACAAAATTTGTGCGATAAATAAAGCAGTCGTACAAAAAAAAACCAAGAGAGCGATAACCTTTGGCTTGTCGGTATTTATTGCTAGGTACAAAATTATTTTCATGCTGAATTTGCAACAACATCGTAAAATGCACTTGACAAAAAATCCCCGAAATGTTTGTAAATTGTAAACAAAGTTCCTTCTAAGTGACGTTTTTAATTTACAAAAAGTGTCTTTTTGTCAGCGCCAGACGTATACCTCGACGCTTCGCGTCTTGCTATATATTGCAACCACTATTCACCTATAATAATAAAGGACGAGTAGGTGGCATTACAAACAAACTGAACTATAGACAGCCGTGACACAGCTGCAGCCCCTTTAATTAACAGATTTTTTCAGTAAGTCGAATTCTAACTAACTGTAGTATTTTTGCGTATTCTCTTACTGTTTCACCAACTCGTTGATGCTTCTCCAGCCGAGTTCAACTCGAGATTCATCCGAGACACATTTCAAGAATGGGGTTGCTATTGGTCTTTCGCATACATCACTCGCACAAAATTTCGGATGTTTCTTAAGCTTTAGATGTTGTCAGATGTTTATGTATCTCGGACGTTTAATCTTCAGACACGTTTGCCGCATTTGAACAAACTTCGAACAAAGTTAACATTTCACACACATTACTGAAACATACCTAAGATAAATTTGAACCTAGAAAATCACCTATTACACTGTAGCAAACTGTGAAAATCTGTGAAAATGATAGTTCTATAGTTATATCATGTTTATCGTTAGTTCTTAAATACGTGATGGCGTCGCTCTTTACGTTCTTGCACTGTACAGTAAGAATTTCTTCCGAAAAAATCGTCCGAAATTTTTTGCAAGTGTTGAATGTAGTTGCTAGTTTTTTAAGTCGTCAAACAATGTTTCTTTAGCTTATCAACCAAGAAGCGTTGCGTGACAGCGCAAACGAAGTTTTAGGTCACGTGACCAGCAGCCATTGAAACTTCTTGGAAGTAAGGGATTTTTTTACAGACGAACAAGATTCAACTTCCTTAGGACTGATTTGGGACAGCAACATAGCCGCCATTTCATTGTTTCAGGACACCAACATGGCGGCGGACGTGACGTCCGATCATGAATTTGTGTTTTGAGTTTCCACTGGTGCCTTGTGATAACGCCTCCGCTCCTCTTAAGACAATACTGGCCTCGTCTCATCGTAATTGCGCTGCATCATACAGGTCGAAAACAAATGACGCAAGAAGGCACAGACAAACAAAACAACACGAAACACCTGGGAAATGAAAAGAGCAAACAGAAAAAGGCAAAAAACCACGGGTACTGTGCCAAGAATGACAATTTCCACTTGTTCGCAGAAACTCCACCAAGATTGAAAATGATCGCTTAGCGGTACAGCTAATGACAGAAAAGAAGCAAAAAACACGTTTACAGTCCCTAGCAAAACTAGGGACAGCAGAGAAATGGTCTCGAGCGTGTTTGCCATTCTGTCACGAAATGGATGTGTCAGGACATGATGGAGAAGAAACAAAACACAGAAAAAGGTCATAGTGAGAAGACGAGAGACTGGGTCGCGGACAAAAGTTCTCAGGATGATGAGAATTAGTCGACGTCCAATCATAACGCTTTCCCAGCTCAAAGACAGTTTGCTGCCATCTTCTGGTCTCTTAAAAGGTTCGTAAAGAACTCTCTCAACAAATATCATGATCATAGATTCTTGATCTGTGGATGAGTCTACGTTGTCATTTCTCTCGGTAAAAAAAAAACACCCAGTATAGTAAATAAGGTAAAGGAAAACAACAGGCAAGGAGGAACTTTCCAGCAGAAATGGATCCTCGGAACAACTTAATTGGTCCCCAAAGCAGGACAAACACGAAAGGTGCAAATGACATCGCGATAAAAACAATCAAAATGTACTGCCACCACTGAAAACACTCCACGTTTCCATCATAAAACAATCGCTTCTCTGAACCAATGGGAACGCATCGTAGCAGGTCAAAACTCACAGAAACAAGAGTTGCGTATCCTAGCAATATGGTTTGTAGAATACCGCCAATATAAGGACCAACGAATGGGGCTCCTTGACCTCGAAACTTCTGAATTCCCCAGTGAACAATGTAAATAATGCCAATCATCAAATATGTGCCAATCACCTGAGACGCACAAAGTAACTGCTTAGTTACCACGGTGAGGCCAGGAAAGGGACAAACTAATTCACCCAATGAAAATTTTTGCTGAAAGTTAAACATCCCAATCAAAGGCTCGACAAATTTAGTTTTGAAGATTTGTTGTGAGGAGTTGGAGACCAGCAAAATGTCCGCCGCCTGGTAGAGGTAGAAGACAATCTTAAGATAACCTCTTGAAAAGTTTCTTTCTTCGTTCTCTATTTCATCTTTTTTAAACCAGAATATTTGGCGCGTTGTCCAGGCCCCAAAAGGAGGCGTAAATGTAAAATACAGTGCCATAACCAATACATATAGTAACGAGACAGGCCAAAACCAGTAATCGTTACACTCTTGTGAAGGTCTGCAGTGTGTGGAGTAAAGTGTCTCCGAGTAGGCGTCACTACACTGTCCGCATAATTTACCAGAACGGTAACCCTGACAACCATTATATTCAGGGTAATCGTTTATATCAGGTGAGCGACAGTAACCCAACGGACACAAGGTAAATTGTAGCGTTGAAGTGGTATCCTGTTCTCCAAAGCCCCAAAAGTTATTTTTGGCGATTATATTTTCAGAACAGTTTGCTCCAAACGGGCACGGTAGACACTGAAATCCTGGTATTAACTCGTTTCCAAAGGCACCTCCCCGATTCAGACTATACTTTCCCTGTGGACATGTCAAACAGTAATATCGTAGAGAGCGAATGTCTACTGCGATACTGCATGTGTCATTTATCGTTTGTACTTCACAAGTTGTAAAATCAGTAATATCCATCTTCATACCAAGTGGACAATAAAACCTTGTCAAATTATTGTCTCCAAGATCTATCAATCCAACATTCTGAACCAGCAAGAGATAACTAGTTATGATGCTGTCATACATTCGCTTAGCGTCCATTGTGGTGTTGTGAATAACAAGTGCTCCTGAAGTTTCAGAGTGAAGAAAAGACCCTATGGTGTACCTTTCTCCCGCTAGCTGCAACTGGTTAATAGTTTGATTGAAAACAGTGCTTTGCAAATGAAGGCTGGATGAACCAGTTCCAATGTATATGTGACCGCCAAGGTTTGCTGCGAAATTGTCACTAAAGGAGCAATTTCGAAATGTTGCGTTTCCGTATTTCAAATATATTGCGCCACCCATAACTGCAGCATTTCTCACAAACGTTGTATTTTCAAAAAGAAAATAACTTCTGTAATCCCATAAGCGAAAGTTCCTGTTACCACGAGACTTGCATGACCAAAATATATCTAGTGGGAAACATTGTGGATCAACCTCGGTGTCTGTTCCTACAAAGATGATCACTGCTCCTCCGTAGCTATTTTCATTCTGCGCAAAAACCGAGTTCTGTGCGAATTTAGATCCTTTGATTTTAACGTTGACATACGCGGAATCTGTGGCTTTTATGGAAATAGCACCTCCTTCTACACTAGCAGAACAATTCTTGAATGCAGCGTTATATATTTCAATAGATAAGGACTGTCCTTGTTTACCGAAGATATTCATGGCGCCTCCAAATCCCATTCCCTTTTTAAGTGGACCCAAATAGTCGATCCGGACATGATTGCCGTCAAAAACGGAATCAAACACTCTCAGTTTACTCAAGACCATTGCTAGCGCTCTGCCATAAGAGCCTCTATTTTTTAAGAATCGACATCCGAGTATGCTAAGAGTTGCATTAAAACCGATAAAAGCACCTCCATAGTATCCTCCGCTATTAGACTCTATGGTAACGTTTTCAAAAGCGATATTGCTTTCTTTGAGAATAAATGTGACGATAGGTGTTCCATTATTGTGTAAGAAGACAGAGTTATCAACTATAACATTGCAGACTCTTTTTGTCAAATTTTGTGGGGAATAGACAGCAACAGCACCTCTATGATTGGAAATAAAATCGCTGTTATTTATAACAATTTCTATTTGGGTTGCATTTGCTAAAACACTCAATGAGCCCCCAGTCATGTCAGTAGTCTTCAGCGCCTGTCTACATCGCTCAAAACGGGAACCTTCTACAATCAAAAGAAAATCTTTGCCCGGTTTTCTTTTTGGGTCCGACGTTAATACATCTATTAAAGCCCCTCCTCCTCCATGCCTTTGCGCGTTACTAGAACAGCCAATGAACGCAGAGTGATGCAGTCTCATCAAAACCTTTGCAGCCTTGATATGTATACCTCCTCCCCCAGCGGAACTGCTAGCATTAATAAAAACGCAGTTAGTGACGCTCAAGTGAAATTGCGTGTCTCGTCGAATACTGTATTGCACGCTATTATTGTCGTCTGTCGAGTATTGAAAATTCTTGTAGATTGACCCTGATGTGTAAATGTAAAGCGCTCCCCCTTTACCATTCTTCGCAGTGTTGTTGGGGAAACTGTCATCGAAGAAACTAACCTTGTGAACAGTGGCAGATTCAATGGAAACTGCTCCACCTTCGTCAGCAGCTGTATTTACAAAAAACGAGTCATACACGTTAAACGCATGAAGATAATTTCCTCTCAAGGATATGGCTCCGCCACTCCCGACCACCCTTTAGCCAGTAAAACTGGAGTTATAGATCTCTACTGAAATGTTGGAGGCAATGATATTAAAAGACCGTGCATGTTGACTTCTGAAGTTGCTTGAATTGATTGAAATTGTTACTTCGTTGCTGTTAACGATGCATTCAATGTAACCATTCATCGTAAAAGCTTGGTGCGACGAAGGATAGTTGTCAATAACTGTCACATTGTGAAGTTTAAGGAACTGGCTGACTTTTCTTGTATCTACCCAAATGAGACCTTTCGGACTAAGCATGTTTCGGTGAAACACTGTGCTTTCCAAGATCACATTACAACTTACAGATTGTTTAGTTGAAGATAATGCAGCAAATGATATAACTTTCCCGTCATCTGACAAAAAGTTGTCTTCAAAAAGGGAACTTTTAATCTTGAACGTTACTTGAGTTCGTTGAAAAGAACTGCTTTTACTGTTGACATTTACAGAGATACATTTGCTGTTCCTAGAGAAGGATGAATTTACAATCTGAATGTCCACAAACATCCTGGCAGAAATATTGATTTCCACACCCCGTACGCTGTCTTGGAATTTACAACCATGAACATAAACGGACGAGTCTTGGAAGCTGACAAAGCTGTTGTTTACAAGAATTCCTGATATAGTTATTTTCATTTGCTCCTCGCTATCAGAACCGTTGAATATCAAACCTGTTCCTTCAGAGCATTGTATCTGAGGCATAGGACTGACAGAACCAATCAGAGAGAGACTCTTGTGGGTGTAAATCCCCGGATGCTGTGACGTTCCTGATGAACAGTTGTAAGGGTCTTTGTCAGTGTTAGTGCCGTCTAAGTAAATGTGATCCCCACTTGACGCTAACTTGACAACTCGCCAGATGCTTTTGCAAGGTCTCTGCAGATCACATGACCATGTGTCGTTGCCCAAGGCTCGAGAAATGTATAAGCTCTTACCCTCTGTCACAGTTTTTGAAGAAAGGAGAAACGAATAACAATGATTAGTGAGATAATATCACAAGTGACAAATAACTCCTTAATTTTGGTGCGTTATTTCAGCGTTACTTTGTAATTTTAATTGTGAAGTATTTATGCAGGCTTTTTGGGAAAAATGAGAACTTCAATGATTGTTTATCGGCAAAAAGGCGATCATTATTACATTCAACACGGCACAACGATCTTTTTTCCTATTACAATCTTTTTCTAGGAAAACTTAAAGAAAAATTGGCCCGAAACGCACACGTAAATACTGATGCGAATACATCGGATCGTGCTCATGCCCCTCGGGCATCCTATAATACTCCTTAAACCCAAGTAATTCAATATGGCCGCCGTATCGGTAAAAATGTGTATTTTTCACCTATGATATTACACATACTAAATCCCCGGGGGTCGGCTCAACAAAGTTTTATTCAGTAAGGTTTTCATTCTTGAACCAAAGCAGTGACATTGGTTTGAGCTGGGACTTTCACCTCCTTCAAATTTGCTCATTCAATGCTGTAAACCTGGTAGTGATAAGAAACGTGGTGGAAACTTGCTTTTAAATGAATTCCCTTCAGTTATTTTGAAAATAAAAGTTCTTTGCTCTCTGAAAAGTAATGACCGCCATAGTAATGAGCCCCTGAAACTGTCGTGACACTCATTTAAACCGGATGTGACTCTTTTAGTATCACATTAGTGTTATCTTTTTTTTGATTGACATTTGAAATCGGAGTAGCTAAAAAGAGAGTAGTACAAATTTACTTTTTGTTGAGTTCGGTCGGAGAGGAAATGTACGAGCGGAGGGTGGTTTAAAGAAAAGAAGGATTTATGATTTAAGCGAGCTATTTTGTGCCCCACAAGTTTGACTGGGTTTTGACATTAAGAAAACGCCCTGTTCTCTCCGCCCGAGGTTTAACCCGTTACCCTTTCATATTGCAGGTTTTCACCGTCACGCCATCAAAAATAAAAGTCTAAAGCGTTTTGTTGATTAAGTCCTGAATCTGAGAAAGGAAAGGAGGTGAACATGCAAAGACCCTCGGCAAGATTCAGGTCAGTGCAATTTTTCATAAGCGAGATAGTTGGAGAAATCATTTGCCCAAACTTATAGACCTTTGTATGGAGACGTCATGTTTTTGCTCATCCGAATGGGCACTAACATGGCGGCCGGAAACCAACAGAAACATCTGTCACTGAGTTTTGCTACGAAAACATGAATTCATCTCTCAAGGAACTCATAACTATTGAAAAATACTTTTTCTAATACAATGACTGTTTAGATAACAAAATCCGTCAAAAGAAGTCACTTTTTTAACCTGTACGACAGCTCTCTAGGCCGCCATGTACATTACGCGTCACGCAAGAGCTTAGAAACTCGAGCGTATTCTATCAAAAAACGAAGAACTCTTTCGAAGTGAAAATTTGTATAAGTGATTGGTTTGGAGCTGCTCTAATGCTTCCTGAAAGCAAAAACTCGGAAGGATCAATACATTGGTTAAAGTGAACTTTGATGACGTCGTGCGAAAACCAGCAAGACCGTTTTTGTCAGAAAAGGTACCCCTCTGGTATACCTTCTATTGACAAATGTTAACCCTTTCACATACTTAGTTTAGACCTGAATGCGTACCTTTTAACCGCTGTAAATGGACTGTCTTGAACATACGAATAAAATCACATAACCAGAACGTTTTCCCGACTTTTTACAGCCATAAAATGCATCTATTAGCTCTTTTAAGCCTAATAACAGACCAGAATGACAGTTTTTCCTACCCTATCATATACTTCAACCAGCGAAATCCCTAGCCTTTTACATACTTGAAGCCTCAAAAGGGAACCCTTTTCGGCGGAGCTTCCCCTATTGGCAATTATAGGATTATCCCCTGGGTTGTTGAATCAATACAAATCGTTTCGAAACGTGCGGGAAACGTATAGGTTACTTCCCTCCGAGACAGTCGCTGTACAAAGACAGACATACAGTAACCTCATATCCAAGCTAACGCATTTGGTCTTATATTAGAATAATAGTAAACTGTTTATTGATCACCTTTACAGTTAAAAGAACTGAATTGCATGCAGGGATAAAGTACAAACTTGAAATATTTAAACTACTTAACAATGCTATACATATATGCTACTACTTTTAGCATTTACAAACTGTATGCTTGACTGGAGGTAATAAATGAGCCAGAACGCTTCGTAACTGCTGGTCGTCTTTGTCCTGAGGTTGTAGTCATGAGAGTGACCGCTGCTACTAGGTAGTAAAAAGTTATTAGGGCGACTAATACTGTGTAATTTTTGTAGGTATTTCATGGATAACTGACTCTTCCTAAGTGCGAGGCTTGTAGTTTGGGCGGAAATAAGGGCGTCTGCATAGCTAAGGGATGGATATATAATAGACAGGGCCCTTCTCTGAACTGATTCAAGCTTATCAGAAAGGCAGGCAGGAATGTCCTGCCACACCTCAACACCACACCGTAAAATTCGAAAATAGCCCCTCCATGTGTAAGCCCCTCCAAATATATGCCCCCAAAACTTGGAACGCAAAACCCTCCGTTAAATCGCCCGCTCCAAATATAAGCCCCCTGGTGGCTTGTACTTTGAAAATTGCCCTCAAATACAAAGTAAAACGAAGAAAAAGGTAAATTTCCTACCAAGAAAAAGGCTAGCCCAATCGATTTTTAAACGCAAATTTTCTCCGTACATAAGCCCCTCCAAAAATTAACCTCTCAAAAGGGCCTTTTTGAAAATATAAAGCCCCGGGGCTTATTTTCGAATTTTACGGTATTCTAAAATAACAGGTCTTATGGTGGTTAAGTAGACTTTAAGGATTAGTCTACTATAAGGTACTCCTGCTTTCTTCAATACTAGCAACTAGAATAGGGGCTTTGAGGCCTTCTTAAAAGTATAATCGATGTGATAGTTACTTATATACACCCGAGGAGTTCACAGATGGGGACGCGATCCACAACGTTATTGCCAAAAATTATGGGTGACAATAAAAGTTATGATTATGCATGAAATTAACTAACATTTCTTTGCACTTTTAAGAAAAAACTGTAAATGCCATTAGCAACTAGATTGAATAGGCTGCAACCGTTCCTAGGCAAAATTTCGAGAGCTGTGGTGTCCTCAACAAATTTAATTCTCAATTTCAGTCCTTCAGTAGATTGTTAGTCATTACCGTAAACAGGATACCACCTTCAAGTTTTGTCCCTGAGGGACGCCACCTTTGGGGAATTTCGCACTAGAGGGCATAGTCTAATGAACCTTTGTTTGTGTTGTAGACTGTTCTTTATAGTATATCTTTTATATTTTTGTTATCTTGTCTTTTTAAATAGCCACACCATACCAAGTCATATTAATTTCCGCTCATTATTTTACTTCATATATATTTCTGTAAATTCGTGATATCTCAATAAACCTGATAAAGACTGGTATTGGCCAGTCGAAATATTGCAACTTAACTCTGTTCTCGTTGTTTGATCAGTCCCTGCAAAAGTCTTCTTGACTGTAACGTTTTCAATTTGATTTATTTTGTCTGATCACGATCGTTTTGGATCCGACGTTGAGCAACATTGATCGTACACGGTTTTTTGCAGTGGTTTTTTTTACCGTAACTAAACATACTGTTCTTTTATGTATGGACGCAGACTTCTGTTC